GGGCGTGGGGCGGCGCCGGGTGGCAGCCATGCTGAGGCTGCTGGTGCTGCTGGGCCTGGCGGGGGGCTCTGCCGCCCTGGGGGGGCTGCGGGTCACCGAACGCTGGGTGACGTTCCCACGGCAGCTGAGCCCCCGGGCTGACACCAGCCCCCTGGACGTCTCCTTCTGGCTGGAGGTGGCGGGGAGGCCGCGGGTGCTGCGCCTGAGGCCCAGGCAGGGCCTGCTGCCCCAGCCCTTCACCTTGGTCACCTACGGCAAGGACGGGGCTCGCTGGGAGGAGCACCCCTACGTGCAGGACAACTGCTTCTACCAGGGTGAGGTGCAGGGGAGCCCCGGCTCCCTGGTGGCCCTCAGCACCTGCGGCAGGGGCCTCCACGGCGTGCTCTGGGCAGAGGATGGCACCTACGAGATCGAGCCTATCCCTGACGATCCGGCCTACCGGCACATCCTCTACCGCATGGAAGCGGCCAACAACCCCATGGACCCCACCTGCGCCCTGACCCCTGAGGAGCTGCGGCACCAGAAGGCTTTGCTGCCTTGGTTCAAGGTCCACCGGGCAGAGGAGGAGGAGGAGGAGATGCTGAAGGACTGGTGGACACACGTCAGGTATGTGAAGATTGTAGTGGTTGTGGACAACATGTGGTTTGTCAAGTTGGGCAGGAACGAATCTGAAGTCTTGAGGCAAGTCATAGAAATCATCAACGCTGGGGATGCTCTGTACAAACAGCTTTCCATTCGTCTGTTTCTTCTGGGATTGGAAATCTGGACCAAAAGGAATCTTATAAACATTACTAACTCTGCCAACAAGGCGCTCAGCGACTTCAACAAATGGCGGAAGTCAGACCTGTCTCCGCGGATGCGCCACGATACCGCCCACCTATTTGTATTTCAGAGCTTTGGCAGCAGCCTGGGATTGGCATTTGTAGGGTCCATGTGTGATAACCGGTGGTCATCAGCTGTCTCTTCCTTCACTGAGAGGGGGAAGTTGTCCTCGTTTATTACCACGTTTGTCCATGAGCTGGGCCATAACCTCGGGATGCGCCATGACGAGTGGGGCTGTAAATGCAGGCGGGAGAAATGCATTATGTACAAAAGTGATGTCGACACCAACGCGTTCAGCGACTGCAGTTACAAAGACTACTTTGACCTGCTTGGACGTGGCGCTTACTGCATTCATCAGCCACCACCACCCAGCAGGTTCTACACCACAAAGCCTAAATACTGTGGGAATAAGATAGTAGAAAGCGGAGAGCAATGCGACTGTGGTTCGGAGTCAAACTGCAGAAGTGATCCTTGTTGTCACCCGAATTGTACGTTTACTGCAGGTTCAGTCTGTGCTGCTGGAAAATGTTGCAAGAGCTGTCAGGTCCTTCCAGCAGGAACGCTCTGCAGAGCAAGTACTGGTGACTGTGACCTGCCGGAGTATTGCAACGGGACTTCCCCTTGGTGCCCACAAGACATGTACATCCAAGATGGAACCCCTTGCAACGACAGTGCTTACTGCTACCAAGGAAAATGTTCTTCCCACACTAAACAGTGCCAGCAACTCTTTGGCAAACAAGCCAGGGCTGGTTCTTTGGATTGCTTCAAAACAGTGAATATTCGAGGTGACCGGTTTGGGAATTGTGGTATTTGTAACAATATCCATTTTAAAAAATGCAGCATGGAGAATATCTTATGTGGTAGGATCCAGTGTGAAAACATAGACAAGCTGCCCTTCTTGCAGAACCATGTAACTCTAGTCCAAACCCCTGTTGGAGATACACGGTGTTGGGGCTTTGACTATCACGTAGGGATGCCGACGGCTGACGTGGGAGCTGTGGAAGATGGCACGCCCTGTGGCAGCGACATGCTCTGTATCAACAGGACCTGTACCAGTGTATTGGTGCTGAACTACGACTGCAACGCCACAAAGTGTCACGGCAGAGGGGTGTGTAACAACCACAAGAACTGTCACTGCAACTATGGCTGGGCTCCTCCATACTGTGAGTGGGAAGGATTTGGAGGTAGCATTGACAGTGGACCCCCTCCAGCCAGGGAGATTTTTCAGGGAACAAAAATAAAAGTACTACTTAGTGTTTTTTCCTCTGTGGTTGGAGTGACCCTTATCCTGTGTTATAAACAGGAAATAGTGAGATGTCTTAGGAGGAAAAAGGCCTGAGTCCATGGAAGAAGATAGTAGTTGTTTCAAATACTGGAAACACCAGCAGTCCTAAAGGAGAATACCTGCTGGTGAGTCAAAATCCACCACAAAGCACTTGCTGAAGACCAACAAGCAATAGCTTTGGGTGCTCCTGGGGAAGTCTCCCTTGAGACAGTAAAGAGGTATTACCCAGATCACACCAGTAAGCATTACATTTCTGAACCATCAGATACAGATCGAGAGTGTAATGACACCAAACCTGATATTTCACAAAAATAAACCCTCTTTTGTGGAAACCTCCCCGTGCCTTGACTGCTGTGTTCTTCTGAGAAGCACGGGGTGTTTAATTGTCACTAAGAGGAGCTGTCGGTGAGGTTGCACAAGTTAACTGGATTTCTAAAATAGAACTTTTCTGCAGGTCTCCCCCACCCAGAATTCCTGTAATATTTGATAGATTGTTTTATCGACTCAGGGGGTTTCTCTTGATTTAATATGTGATTGCTTCTTAAGCTATTACCAAACGTGTCCTTGCACCTCTATGGAATGCCACAGATGCTTTGTATTTTTCATTTTTTAACATGAGATAAAATGTGTCTAACTTAGGAAAAAAATGAGGAATGTGGAAATACCATTCAGGAAGCTTTATTTTTATCATTTATATTACATCAGTGACTAGATCTTTCAAATAGATCAGCATAAAGAGGAGGCTGGAGTCCAGACTTACAGTGAAAACTTTATTGTAAACGACTGGTGTTTCTGGATTAAAGGCTATGATGCACTTGTCTGCTACCAAAATCTGTATATGGAAAGAGAGGATCACATTTTCAGTAAGTATTCTGTAAAGGCAGAGTAAGTACCCAACCCTTGCAACGTTTGGGGGAAAAAAGATGATGTTGACTTTACAAATGGTGATGGTAAACGGTTGCTGCCTCCCAGCTATGACATTTATGATTTTAGAATACACATATTCCTATGTTTGTTTGATTTTTTTTTTTATGACTGTTCTGCCTCCAAAAAGGGCTGGTTACATTGTGATTGGATATGAAATACAAAGGATGTGATTCACAGTTCTTCATGGGTTTTTGTCTAAAGCAAAAATGGGTTCTTAAATTGTCATTTGTATTTAGGGAAATGAGGTTAACACATTGTGCAGTATCATTGTTGCTTGATAGTATACCATAAATTCTCTCTTTAGATGGTCAGAGTTCTTATTTACAGGCCTGCACACTGAAGGGACAGAGGTGCCCATAAAAGCACAACTTAGGTTAGAAACTTGCAAGTGCAGTTTTGAAAGAGACAAAGCAAATAAAATGCTGTGCTTTCCATTTTTCTCTATGCTTAAATGTTGATCAAAAAAATCATGACTGCTAATTGGGAGGAGGCTTTCAGCAAACTTTGGACTTACTGAATACAAGAGTATTTCTGTACACTTTTTTTTCTGTTTCTGCTTAGGCTGGATGAGCAATACAAACATGCTTCCAAACAAACCTAGTCTGTTTTATGAAACGTCTGGGCTCCCTCACTGAGGTTTTCCCCTTGGAAGTATCATTTCTGTTTTCACCATAACAATGAATAATGGGATACTTCTGGTGGTTTGTTAGAAATGTCCCAAAACTCTGTTGCAGTGTGAAGGTACAGGTCAGTCCTAATCTTTCTGCCCCCTCCCTGCTTTTTTTTTCTCCTCCTAGTTTAATTTCCTTTTAAAAAAATGTTTTAAATGGATGCAAGAACTTAGTTAATGTATGTCACTTGAACATGGAAGAGGCAGCCTGCAAATGTGATGTGAGGTGGTGCAGTATGTGAAGCAGTGCTGGAGGGAAGTGTCTGACTATGAAGACACATGAAATGGTCTGTGCCAGTGCAGCAGGATACTAAGTCTGTCTTAGATAGTGTCTCCAGGTGAAACCTGGAACTGCCCAGGAGTAAGCTGCAACGATGACTTACCTGTATTTCTTGTTTCAAATCTCTTCCTGGCTAAGCAAGACCTTTTTTTTTTAAAAAAAAAAAAAAGTCTTAATATTATAGTTATCTCAGATCACGATAAAACTGTTTTTATTCTAAGCCAAGACTGTCATCTCTAAAATACATTAAAACTGCTGCTAAGGAACAGTATGTATTTTCAAGGAGTTTGCCAAGTACTGTATTAGCAGAATAGAAGATTGGAGGAAAAATAATTGATGGCATTGTGCAAGTTTTGCTTTCTCGTGTTCTTAATCATTGTCAAAAAATAAGTATAGATATCCAGGGCAGTGTCACTGTGGGAACTGGACTGAAACAGGCATGAAACGGAATGCTCTGCTTAACAGTTCCATCTTGGGATTAATGCAGTCAAAAATATTTGTTATTTGAACAAACCAATGAGTAGTGTAACACTGAAGACTACCTGGTACTCATTTTCATCGGGAATATTCCTGCAGGGTATAGATGTGGCTGTCCTAATAGTGCCAAGCAGTGAGGAGATTAGACTGCACTGGACACTGTTCTCAGCCTATCACCACATTTGTTCCACGAGCTGAAATAGATAAGGATAAAATTTAGAAAGGAAGTAAATAGGGATAAATTCTTCCTTGCTGTCTTTTTCCCAATAATTGGTCGGCTCAAGAAGTTCCTGAGGAACAGGAGTCCCAGGTTAAAGTGCCTCTTTGTAAAGACAGAAAGCTGAATTTAGCGAGCAATAAAAGCCAAAGGAGCTATCTGAGTTTTGAGAGAACTTCCCAATCCTCAAACCGGCCACCTCCTACAGGACATAGTGAAGTGCGTGTTGTTCCCAGTGGTGGTGAGTACAGGGGTTCGATGTGCGCTCTGTGGTTCTGAATTCAAGGCTACCGCGGTCCTGCCGGGCAGGTGCTGGCACGGGCATGGGCTGGCACAGGCACGGGCA